GGATGTCTTACATTACCGCTTGCTGTTGCGTTCTTCGTGCCTCCAAGTTTGCAGTCCGTCTTTGGGAACGTCGCGTGTGTTTCCGTGGAGTTGCCCGGACGCCCAGTTGTGATGTTGATTGAGTTGTTGCGATCCTCTGGCTTGCGGCTGGCGAAGGGTGGGGGGTCATTCGTTGTTTATCACGCGTTCGGTCTCTCTCTCTCTCTCTCTGTCTCTCTCTCTCTCTCTCTCAGGCCACGGTTCACCTCATGAGATTGCTTATCGCCTATCGCAGGTCGGTTCTTGGCTTGCACCCGGTGTACTTGCCGACTCTTTGAATCGCATGACAGTTGAAGATGCGCAGTGTGGAGTTCATTTGTACGCATGCATGAAAACGTCAGTTTGAGATTGTTCGCATTTCGTCTTCGATTGTTTGGGGACATGCTTTCCTTGCGTGCCACATGTAGTTGCGCCGCCTTTGAAAAAGGAAAAGGACGGATTCAGGAAGAAGGAGCAAGCGAGGAAAGGAGGCAGCATCGGGAGGGGAGGGGGGCAGGAGGGAGATGCGAGGACCGAGAACGAAAAAAGCCTTCTCTGGAGGGGGGAGGGCAAAGAAACAGGAGGACTGGCGAGCGGGCCCTGACCAGCGGGTCCGGCGGGCGGACCCCAGCGGGCGAGTCGGGCGGGCGGGCGGTCCTCCTCCTCCTCCTCCTCCTCCTCCTCCTCCTCCTCCTCCTCCTCCTCCTCCTCCCCCTCCCCTCCCCCTCCCCCTCCCCCTCCCTCCTCCCCCTCCCCCTCCCCCTCCCTCCTCCTCCTCCTCCTCCTCCTCCTCCTGATGGGCGAGTCGGACCTTGATGAGCGGATCGGGCAGGCGGGACACGAAAGCGGGCGGGCGGCCTGTCAAGAGAGCGAGCGGACACAACAAGCGGGCGGGGCTGCTTTTCCAAACGAGCGAGGACGGGCGGACCCCACCGGGCGGGCGGACCCCGACGTCGGCGCGTCGGGCGGGCGGGCCCGAGGAGGAGGGCAAAGAGGAGGAGGAGGAGGAGGAGGAGGAGGAGGAGGAGGAGGAGGAGGATTGCGAAGGGGGTGCAGGTGCAGAGGGACGAGGGGGGAAGAGATGGAGGGGGAGAAGGAGGAGGAGGAGGAGGAGGAGGAAACAGCGACGACGACGACGACGACGACGAGGGCGGAGGTGCAGGAAGCCAACGGGGCGGCAGCCCGTGACGAGGAGACGGAGGAGGGGAAGGACGACCGACGACGACGACGACGACGACGACGACGACGACGACGACGACGACGACGACGACGGCGACGACGACGACGGGGCGACGGGCCCCCCCCCGCCGCCGCGGGCGGCGGCGGCGACGGGGCCGCGGCTCTGCCGCCATGGCCGCGGCGCCCGGGGCGGGCGCGCGCGGCGCCTCGCGGAGCGCCGCCGGCGCAGGCTCGCGGCGGCGGCGGCGCCTCGTTGGCGGTTCAAAATCAGGAGGGAAAGAAACACACAGACACAATTAGTCTTCGATTTCCCAGAAAAGATGGGAACATATGGGAAGTGGGGGGGAAGACAAAAAAAACCCAAAATATAGGGAAATATGGGGCATAGTTCTAGAAGACAAGAGCCCCCAAAATATAGGAAGATATGGGGAATATTCTTTTATTTGTGTGGATTTATTTGTGTGTCCTGGGGCCCCTTCACAAAAGACGGCTCGGGCTCGACGGGGCGTTCTCTGCGTGGCGTGCCCTCGTCGGGGCGATCGAGGTGGGCAGGGAGAGATGGGGCACGGTGCCCCAGAGAGCAGTTCCTGTTCCTTCTGAGCAGGGGCTTGCTGTCCGAAAGCCGCCAGGGGCGTCGCGTTCACCGAAGACAGGAAGCCGCCTGCCCAACAGCGGCCGCAGGCGGTTTGGGACAGCATTTGTTGTTGGGCATTGTACGCACTCTTCCCGTACCCACCTCGGGCGTCCAAGCTTCCTGTTGTTTTACAGAAGAGCCCTCTCCTCCCTTATGTGGCGTTCTTCATGGCAGCACGATGACTGGGCGAGCTCGGGCCCAGAGATCAAACGTGCTGAAAAATCAGGGCGGAGGTTCTTCATCGTGTTCGGTCACGAGGGGTCCTCGCTGGGCCCAGGGGCCGCACAGGAATTGCTCAGCATGAGCAGCCAGTTCCCAGGGAGTGGGTCGAGGCTTCTGGTGACCCCGCATGGAGAAAACGCGACATGCCTTGAGGGATTCCGGGCCCCCGAAATGGGCTCCGAGCAGATGGCGTCGGAGAATCTCGCGCCGCATCGCCGGTGCATTGGCGATGCGGCTCGCTGTGGAGCCCGAGTGTCTCCACGCCGGCGGTGCCGATGTCGCCGATGCGTCGCCAATGCCTTGGCGATGTGTTGGCGATGCATTGGCGATGCTGCTGGATCCTCGGACCCATTCTACTCGGACCCCACTCGGGAGGCCTCTATAGGGACGGGGCCCTATCACCTCGAGATCTTGGCGCTGCAGTGTTGCTTCACGACAGGAGTTGTCGCAGGGTTTCGGGACCTGGGGCCAGCGCAGATCGACCCGGCTTGAAAAGTGGTGCAGAAAGACGGGGTCTAGGGCCGCGGTAGCCATATGTCGCGACGCTGCAAGTTTTTCGCAACGTCGGATCTCAGGGAAGGCCGGGTGGCCTTGGACAGCGAGGGCTCGACCTTCTGATCCACCTCCTCCCCTCAGGGCCCCACCCCCCCTGAGATCCGACGTTGCAGCAAAACTGCAACAGTATCGCGACAAAAGCACAACCAGCGCCGCAGACCCCATCTCTCTGCGCAATGTTTCCAGCCAGATCGATCTGCGAGGGTCAGGGGCCCGATCCCCGGCGAAAACATCCGTTGCGGAAAAATTGCCACGCCAGAAATTCAGTCAGGACGCTGGGGTCGGTCGCGACCGATTTGCTTTTCAAAGTCGGTGGCGACTGGTTGGTCGCGATCGGTCACGACCGATTTGGATTGCCGATCGGTCGCTACTAATCTCGACCGGAAGAGTCCGGTACAGTGGAAACCCATGCCAAGAAACCCTTTGCTTGCCTCCAGGGTGCCCTGGGTTTCTTGGGTTTCGATGGCTTTCCTGTGGAAAGCGTGCCTGTCCCACACCATAAAAAATCACTGGGAGTCCTGGGGTCTCAGGGCCGGGGTTTCTCGCGAAAGGGTTCTTGTAGTCGAGCTCCTAGTACTGTAACTAGACCTGGTCACGCACGGCGGTGCAACGACCCAACACGTGGGCACCTTGCGGACGCGAGCGCCATCCGAGACCCGGGGCACGGGTATCCAGAGGGCGCACGCCCCGCCCCCGCGGCGACGGCCCGACCCCAGGGAGCCCGAGACCGGAGAACCCAGAGCCGAAGGGGCCGAACCCAGGAGCCCAACAGACAGCGGAGGCTCCTCCTCCTCTTCCTCCTCCTCCTCCTCCTCCTCCTCCTCCTCACTCCTCCTCCTCCTCCTTCTCCTCCTCATCCTCCTCCTCCTCCTCCTCTCCTCCTCCTCCTCCTCCTCCTCCTCCTCCTCCTCCTCCTCTTCCTCCTCTCCTCCTCCTCCTCCTCCATCTCCTCCTCCTCCTCCTTTTCCTCCTCCTCCTCCTCCTCTCCTCCCTCTCCCTTCTCCGCTGCTCGGCCTCCGGGCCCCGCCTGCCCGGAGCGCCGAAGAGGCGCCTCGCGCTGCTGCCGGCGGCCGTGGCGGTGGCCGGCGGCGCCCTGCGCCGCGGAGCCCCGGCGGCGCCCTTCGTCGCGCCGCGCGCGGCGCTCGGCGGTCGGCGGTCGGCCGAACATTGAGGAGGAGGAGGAGGAGGAGGAGGAGGAGGAGGAGGAGGAGGAGGAGGAGGGGGAGGAGGAGGAGGAGGAGGAGGAGGAGGAGGAGGAGGAGGAGAGGAGGAGGGGAGGAGGAGGAGGAGGAGGAGGAGGAGGAGGAGGAGGAGGAGGGAGAGGAGGAGGAGGGAGGAGGGAGGGAGGAGGGAGGAGGGAGGAGGAGGAGGAGGAGGAGGAGGAGGAGGAGGAGGAGGAGGAGCGGGGAGGAGGGAGGAGGGAGGAGGGAGGAGGGAGGAGGGAGGAGGAGGAGGAGGGGGAGGAGGAGGAGGGAGACTGAAGAACGGTAAAACGTATAGTCTGGGGACGATGCTTCGTACTTGTGTAAAGAACTATGCTTGATTCTGTGTCGACTACTGTCTGCTCGTCTTCCAGAGTCCGCCTGAGGGAGGTCCAGGCCCGACCTGACCTCAACAGGTCGCCGCGCCGTGTGGGCCCGACGCGCGGCCTTGCGTCTTGGGCAGGGCGCCGCGGCTACCAGGGCAAACGCCGCCTCGGGCGCGGCGGATTTGCCGCGGTTCTGGCTGCGTCTGTTGGGACGCGGGGCGCAGGGTTTGCCATGGGTCTGCCATCGTCTCGGCTTCGTCCACTTGGACGCGTCGAGAACAAACGGCGCGGCGACACATGTTTATATACGGTGTTTTTGTAGCAATTCATGGGATTCCGTGGGAGCCTTGTATACCGTTGCACCTCCGTCTTTAGAGTGTGCACTAGAGTCGATGGGCGTTTGGTAAGCGATGATATGGCGCCGATTTAGCTTCGATTACTAGCGACGATATAGCGTCGCCCAGCGCGGATGCGCAAGAGCCAACAAGATGGCATGGAAGACTCCATTGAGTTGCCGCTGAATCATGTGCGCGTCGCCCACCCAGAGGCGACGCGCGCGTTCAGAAAGGTTCTAGTACGTGTTCGTTGGCGGGCGCTTTCGCGTGCCAGCAAGATGGAGTATCCTCTCACTCTGCCCGATGCCTGTGACCATTTTGGCTCAGGCGTTCGGCCAATGTTGAACAACGGTTGGGCGCAAATACTGATCCGTGGGCTGTGCGCTTTCGACGCCGCGCGGCGGCGGGTCAGCAAGGCGCCGCATGAGTACGATGTCCTCGGCCCGCGTCTGGCGCTGCAGGCGGGGGAGGCCGAATTCGAAGGGACTCCGTGCAGGTAGCGGAGGCCGGGGACTTCAGCGTGGAAGAGGCGAGCGGCAGCCGGTGAGGGAGTTCGTGGACCAGGCCGTGGCCAAGGAGATTGCGCAGAAGCGTATGCGTGCCACGGCTGCCCCGAGCGGGCCATGCTGGAGGCGGGCCGCGGCGGGCCTCCTTTTGACGGATGACGCGGACGCGTCCCAGACCTCGCTGCCGCCCGGGACCCGTGCGATGGTGGGGACTCGTTTCGCGCGGAGGTGCCGCGCGGCCGCTGAGGAAAGCCGTCGAAACCCTCGCTGGATCGCGCTGCTCGAGGAAGTGGGAGCGCCCTCCCTCGAGACGGCGCAGGCCTGCATGGCCCAGGGTCGGCGAAGGACGGCATCACGGGCCGCGCGCGCATCAGCACGGTGAAGTCGCACGCAGGCCTTGGAGACGATATGCGAATGGCTTTCGCGCGCGCACGGGGCCCCATGGCCCGTGACGATCGCGAATTTCATCGAGTACTTGCAAACCAGGGCGGCCGAGCCGCGTGGGCCGAGGGTGCCCAGCGAGACCCTTCGCGCCCTGGCGTGAACGGAGCGGGTCGCAGGTGTCGACACGAGCGACAGACTTCCCGCGCGACTGGAGGCGCAGCAGGTCGTCGCGAACGTGGAGATGCTCCGCGGCGTGGGCAAGGGGCCGACGACGAGGGCCGCGCGTGTCCACAGCGCGTTCATTGGAGCGGCTGGTCATGGACGACGGCCTCGCGCCGTACCTGCACGGGGTGGCGTGGCTTCGCCTCGTCCAGGCATGGGCGCTGCTGCGCTTCGACGACCACAGTTGGCTCCCGCCGCAGCGCCTCGATTTCGTGGACGGGAGACTGACGGCCACGCTGGCACGCAACGAAGCTAGAGGAACAGGATGCAAGATGCCGGAGCTGCCGCTCGCGGTATTCCGCGGGTGCTACATGCTGGACCCAGCGTGAATCCAGACGGGGTTCGAGCTGTGGCAGGAGATCGCGAGTTTCGAGAGGGGCTACTTCCTGCCGAGATGCGACGACGCGGGGCCCGCGGTAGTCCGCAAGCCCTCCGGGCACGCAGAGGCATCGGAAGCGGGACACGCCGCGCCCTGGAGGATGTTGGAGCCAGCAGCACGCACAGGGGAGGAGGTAGAGTTCCTCATTTCCGAGGAGATCGTGGGATTCTGGACAGAACATTCGGAGCGGGCGACGACCCCCTCGGCCCCGGCGGCGTCGGGGGCCTCGAAGAGAGACCGCGACTACCTTGGCAGGTGGTCGCCAGAGGGGGCGGACACCCACGCAAGGACGCCGCGCAGTCGTGACCAAGCTCCAGCAGCAGTTCGCGGATCTGCTGCGTTCAGGGAAGTCCCAAGCGGCGTTGGACGAGCCTTCTGCCATGCCAGATCTGGCGAGTTGGCTGGTGCTGAGAACTTCTCGGCGCAACCGAAATTTACGCGGCCTTTGAGGCCTGCTCCGGTTGGTTGGCAACAGTGCCCCAGGACAACGAGGACGGGCCGCGCGGGGCGGCGACCTCAGAGGCCGCCGTTGAAGACGGGAAGCGGAGGACGTCGCACCGCCAGCGGGGGCGGCAACACCCCCACGGTGAGTGCCGGAGGCGGAGCACGGACGTGGCAACTCCGACATGGTAGCTGGACGAACATACAGATCCGCGACGGAGAGCAAGGTGGCCATGCTCCACAAGATCGGGGGCTGTGACTGGGCGAACGACAGGTCGCCGCTGAACTCGACCTACATCGACGATGCGCCAGACCCGAAAGACTTCGACGTGGCCTGCCAGATGTGATGGCGCCTCATTTCGGCCGAGGTGTCGAAGGCTGCCAGCAAGGGCGAGGACGAGGATTCGGGCGGCCCGTCGAGCTCCGCAAATTCCGACGGGTCGGAAGGGGCCGCCCAGGGGAAGGCCGCAGCGGCGGCGGGACCCATAGGCATCCGTCCCCTCCCTCCTTGGTGACCAACCCCCATGGCTGAAAGGAGGGCCGTCACGTTCCTGGTAGTGGCTCGGGCCCCAGCGCTACAGGGCCCCCGCCTCCGCCACCCGCAAAAGAGGCATCACAGTCACCCCCGTTTTTCCCACCATCGCATTGTTTATAGGGCCATTCGAAGACGCCCCCGCGAGCCGACACAAACGTGCATCCTCTCATTCTGCCTGATGCCTGTGGCCATTTGGGCTCCGGCGCTCGGCCGATTTTGAAAAACAACAAAAAAAAACTGGGGCATCAAGTTCCTGGGAGTGGCTCGGGCCCCTGCGCGAGAGGGCCCCGTCTCCGCCACCACTAAAAGAGGCATCAACGTCACCCCGCTTTTTACCACCATCGCACCGCTTGTAGGGCCATTCGAGGACGCAGTATGTTTCTGTTCCACGTTCATTTCGGACGTGCGCCCCCAATTGGGGCGTTTAAGAACAGTACAGAAGAGCATACAAGTAAGCAACCTCCCGAACAACTGGGCCAGCGTTTCTTAACCAACTCGCCGGAACGTTAGCCCAGCTTTTTGAGCACGCTCGCCCCGTCCAGCTTAACGAACAATCATTGGCCCGGACTTGTAACAAAAAAGGAAGCTGGCCCATATTCTTCAACGATAAAGCTCAGGATCGCATGTCCAGTTGTATCGTTACATCCGACGTTGCGACAAACATAATACAACAAAACAAAGCAAAAAACGACCAGACCCTCAGACCCCATTGTTGTTGCGTCATTTCCGGAGCAGATTGAATTTGTGAGGGCACCCGGCCCGGAATTCAGCGAAAATGCCGATTATGACAAAATCGCAACGCCAGGATCTCAGGACCCACCAGAACCCACCCGCGACCCACCCACGTCGCTTTGACGAAACAGTCGGCGCCTGCAGCGGGATCGTTGCGCAATATGTCCAAAAGCGGCGTTTGCGACGGGTTTTCTAGGAGCCTCGCAGACTGCCGACGACCCCCCCCCGCGGCCCCCTCAATTGTATCCGCAACTGCGGGGTGCCACGTATATTCATTTTTCACGTCGCTATGCAGGTGAAGCAACATTCCCAAACCAGCCGAAACAATTTCATTGTATATTTTGTAGTGGCCTCCACCCAGTGCCGCCGATCTGGGGCGCTCCCCATGCTGCTAAGAATGGATGGCCGTGTACGCTGAAGATACAGCCCTCATTCGAGACATCTTCATAAGATGAACATGTGGAAATCAGTTGCGAAACACCTCCCCCGCCCTCCCCTGCAGAGCGCTCAAGTCCACGGTTCCCGAGCACTGAATGGCGTCGGGAATGGCGTGCCCCCCCCCCCCCTTTGCAGAGCGAGCTCCCCCCCCGCTCCCGAGCACTGAATGGCGTCGGGAATGGCGTCCTCCCCCCCCCCTCCCTTGCAGAGCGAACCCCCCCAGCTCCCGAGCTTTGAATGGCGTCGGGAATGGCGTCCTCCCCCCCTTGCAGAGCGAACTCCCCCCCTGGCTCCCGAGCATTGAATGGCGTCGGGAATGGCGTCCCCCGAACCCCCCCCAGGCTCCCGAGCACTGAATGGCATCGGGAATGGCATCCCCCCCCTCCTTGCAGAGCGAACACCGCCCCCGGCTCCCGAGCATTGAATGGCGTCGGGAATGGTGTCCCCCCCCTTCCCCTTGCCCCACCCCCCCTTGCAGAGCGACCCCCCCCCCCTCGGCTCCCGAGCACTGAATGGCGTTGGGAATGGCGTCCCCCCCACCCCCGTGCAGAGCGAGTTCCCCCCTTGGCTCCCGAGCACTGAATGGCGTCCTCCCCCCCCTCCCTTGCAGAGCGAACCCCACCCCTGGCTCCCGAGCTTTGAATGGCGTCGGGAATGGCGCCCCCCCCCTCCTTCGCAGAGCGAAGCTTGAGCGAGCTCAAGTCCACGCTCTCAGAAACTCACGCGCCAGATCGGCGGATTTTCATTGTCAGGGGCACAGTCAACAGTGGCACTAAGGATGGTCGCCTTCCCAAGGGTACCTTCATCCTTGCCTCTCCGGTCAGATTCGGCCCATCCTCAACCGCTGTCGGTGGCCAGCACCGCTCGAAAAGCCTCGGCATGGGCGCCCCCAGGCCCTTGCATCCTCACCGTGTGTCCTTCTGCCTCCCAGGCGGCGCCGCCCGCGCGGCCGTGGGGCCCACCGGCGCGGCCGCCGGGCCCGCTGGTGGCCGCGGGGCGCTCGGCAGATGCGCGCTCGGCGGCGCCGGCGCGGTGTGGCTGGCAGCGGCGGTCGGGGGTTAGGACAGGTCGGTGGCTCAAAGATGGGGTCCTGAGGGATGGGGTCCCAAGGATGCGAAGGGATCCAAGGGTGGATTTGCTCTGTTCGGGGCACCTCGTCCCGAGGATTAAGTCGGGCCCGTCCCTCTACACTACAGGAGGAACATTCAAAAATTGGCAAGGAAAAATTGTAGGAGGACTATTTTTTGAATACTTGTTTGACCATTTTGGAGTTGTTTTTTGATATCTTTTATTCTTCATCGAAAATCCCCCCGTAGGGGGACACGCCCGACTTAACCCGAGGACCCGATCCCTCAGAAACCCAACATGTGAACCACCGAGGTAACGCTGGGCCGGGTGTTGCTAGTATTGCCTTTGGCCAAAGGTGTCCCCAGGATTTCCAAGGAGGCCCCTACAGCCTCCAGCGCACCCTTCACGAGGCCAAGGGGGCCGCAGGGGCTCCAAGATGGAGCGGAAAGCTGGGGGCACCTTGCGCGCGCCAGGGGTATGTATCTCGAGCAGCACAGGGGGGGGCAGGCTGTAGAGTTGGACGACAAGCGAGGGGTCAGGGGCTGGGGGGGGGTCGATGTTTGAGGTGTCCGTGCGTTTTCGTCGGTTCCCGTCGGTTTTCCAGCCTCGGGATGCCTCCCAGCAGCCGCGCCGCGCCGAAAACGTTCGGGGGATGTCCGGATCGCCCCGAAATGCCGCCAGAGAGCCGAGCTATGGCCCCAATCAGAGGAGGAGATAGGCTCAGGGGGGATACATCGACCCCAATCGCCAACTCATCGCCGATAGGGGTCGGGTAGCCCTAACCTGCATAGCTCCCAGCCCCCCTCGGGTCGTGAGAAACATGAGGGGAATTTTCAATGTAATTTTGGCCTCCGGGAGTCTCTACCAGGCCTCAGGGCCGGCAAATCACGACTCGGGATGAAAAACCGATCCCAGGGAATGGATTCAGACCGCTGGGGGCCCGCGTCATCAAAAAGTCATGACGTCGCTGGTCGGATCGGGGCCCGATAGCCCCAACCTGCCCAGGCACGTTCGGATTTCATATCGGGGGCCGATATCGGCGATGTCTCGCCGGTTCCGGGTCGATGCCTCCCCCCTCCGGCCAGCCCCCCTTATGGTTGCCCCTCAGGCGGCCCTCGGCGCAGCGCCGGAGGCGCGCGTCGCCCGCGCCTGCGGCGGCGCCGAGGCGGACGAGGATCGCCGTGGAGGGGTCGGGCCCTGCAGGGGGCCCAGACGTCCCCTGAGATCTTGGCGCTGCATTTTTGCCGGGCGCGGCTTTTCAGCCCAGTTTCGGGCTCCGGGGCCCTCACAGATCGATCATCATAACCATCATAACCATCATAATCACAATCATCAACATCATCATCACCATCAGTATCACCATCATCATCACCGTCACCATCACCACCATCATCATCATCATCATCATCATCATCATCATCATCATCACCACAATCACAATCACAATCATCATCATCATCATCATCATCATCAGCATCATCATCATCATTATCATTATCATTATCATTATCATTATCATTATCATTATCATCATCGGGCCCTCACAGATCGATCGGGGTCGAAAAATGGCACAGAAAAATCGCACAGATCTGGGGGTCCGGTCGTGATTGTGTTGTGATGCTGCATTTTTTCGCAACGTTGGATCTCTGGGGATGTCCGGCGTTTTGGGCCTCCAGGGGCCTTCGCCGGGCCCCAGGACCGTCGAAAAAAAAATCGGGAAGAAAAACAAAACTGGCCCTGAGAAAAGGGTCGGGACCGCTGGCGGGACGTGTTGAACAGAGCCAGGGCATCGCATGTATGGGGTCGGGTCGCCGTGTTCCAGTCTCGCTCCGACGCGTGTGCGGATCGTCTCTGCCTCGCCGCGATGCCAAAAAATGTCCGGGGTGGGGTCATGCAGGGGACGCGGGACACCCAGATCTCCGACGATCGCTATTATGTTGTCCATCCAGGCGCCGTTCCTTGGTTTCGTTGTCTTGTTGCGGTCCCGCGAGCCCCAGGACCATCGGAAACAAATGCGGGACAAACAATTACCCCCGAGAAAGGTGTGGGGACCTCCTGGGGCCGCGGATCACCGAGATCCGACGTTGCAAAAAAGGCAGCATCACGAAAAATCACGACTGGAGCCCTAGACCCAAAGATTTCGAGTAGGGGATAAACTACAGAATCGATTTACTCCACAATTCATGTTCCCCCCGAACGTACCAGAAACGCGTCGAATGTTCGTCGATGTATGGGGCATGATGCGTATTTGATTCCCAGATTCGGTGGGAAAATCAAGTTTGGGGTAAATAAAATTCTGTAGTCTCCTCGAAATCTTTTTGCGTCATGTTTCGAGCCGGATCGATTTGCAGGGCCTGCAAGGCCTGAAAAACAGCGAAGGCCGAGGGCTGCAGAAACGGACACCCAAATGGGCCCCTTTCGGGCCCAAAGGGGGCCTCTGGGGCCCGAAAAGTCCCAGGAGAATGCGGAAACCGCGGGAAGCAGAGAAGAAGACGAACATCCAGGAAGTATGGGGGATCTTGGCACGGGTGTCTACTTCTGTGTGTTGCGTACTGGGGCGGCCAAGCTCGGGGCGGCTAAGCTCCGTCTCGATTTGCTCAACGCGTTGGGCGCCCGGGCCCCCTCCCGTGCTCCAGAGGAGGGCGCGCCGCCGCCGGGCGGCGACTCGGAGGAGGAGCAGGTCCGCAGGGCACGGCGCCGCCTGGAGAGGCTGTCAGGGGCAGCGTTGGACGGGGGACGGCTCAGGGCGGGAGGAGGAGGAGGAGGAGGAGGAGGAGGAGGAGGAGGAGGAGGAGGAGGAGGAGGAGGAGGAGGGTGGGCCAATTTTCCACCACCACCATACGGCAGGTTGGCGTCGGGTTGACCTGTGGCAACCCCGACGACGGCGCTCAACGTTGACGTGGAACGCCGCCGGCGACCCAGAAGATTTCGACGTTGAACGATCGGACGTTTCGACAGCGGCCGATCTTCCAAGGCTGAACGAGCCCCGCGCTGTCAGGAACCAACGCTGGGGTCGACACGACACGAACTTTCTGTAGGTAGGACAGCAAGAAATCTTTGGCCTTGCGGTCGGAAATCTTTGGATGGCGTGGCGCGCCGCTGGTTTCGGCCCACCGCGCTTCGGTGCGACACGCCATCCACAATCCCCGTCCGCGTCCATGCCCCGAGCCTTTCCGAGCCTCCCACCCCGCGGAGCGGAGCAACACGCAATTCACTCGCAAAGCAGAGCGTATCGCCGGGGCCGCCGCCGCGACACGATATAGCCTCAGCAGAAGCCCTCCCAGCCCTTCGCCCTTCTAAGAACGAACTCTGACACAATGTTCGGGCATGTTGGAGAGTGTGCTAGGGCTCCGAACAGGACAGGCGACACACCCCAAGAGCGCCCTCAGGGGGGGGATGCATCGATCCTCCATGTCAGACTCCCTCGCTTCGTGAAACAAACGCTACAGGATTTGTTTATTTTCAGCCTCCGGGGTCCCATACCAGGCCTCGGGACCGTCGAAAAGCGGCTCGTGATGAAGAGCCGGTCCCCATGAAGGGGTCCAGGAAAAATCACGACGTCGGGGGTTCAGGATCGCCGGTTGATCAGACCCGACAAAGGATTGCAATCCATCGTTTTTTTGCAATCCTTCGTCGGAGCTCTGGGTCCGCTGTCGTTGCCCCGCAGGCTGGTCGGCATGATGATGATGATGATGATGATGATGATGATGATGATGATGATGATGATGATGATGATGATGATGATGATGATGACGATGGTGATGGTGATGGTGATGGTGATGATGATGATGATTGACGATGATGATTAACGATGATGATTGGAGCGTCGGAGCTCTGGGTCCGCTGCCGTTGCCCCGCAGGCTGGTCGGCGTGGGGAGCCCCCGCGCGGACGAGGAGCCCTTCTGGGCCTCCGCGGAGGTGGCGCTCGGCCGCGACGGCCTGCCGCCCGTGGGCGCCGTGCTGCTGGCCAACCCGGACGCGTTCGCGGCCGCCCCGGAGGCCGTTTGCGCAATTCGGGTTGGGCGTTGCGTAATGGAGGGGTCATAAATGGGGGGGTGGCGAGGGTGGTCCGAAAGGGTACCCAAACGGTACCTAAACGAGCCCCCTGGGGCTCCGGAGGGGCCCGAAAGGGGCACGAAAGGGGACCGTTTCTGACCCCCCCATTTATGACTCCCCCATTAAGCCACGCCCAATCGGGTACGATGCCCAAGAGCAGTTCCTGTTCATTTTGAACAGGGATTCGCTGTCCACGCCGCCGCGGCCTGTGTCAAAATTCGAGACAGGAGGCCGCCTGCCCAACAGCGGCCGCTGTTGGTTTGGGACATCATTTGCTGTTGGGCACTGTGCCCATTCTTTCCGTACCCACTTCGGGCGTCCAAACAATGGGCACCTCCATCTGCCGTCCGTGCCCGAGGATCTCCTGCGCCACCGGTCTCTCAAAAAGCCCCAGGGGCCTGTGGCGCGGTGTATAAGGGCTTCGGGTTCCGGGCCGCCCCAGCTGAGCGACGCGGGAAATTTGGCCCCTGCAGGGATCCGCCGCTCCCAAAAAATTGGAGCGGGCGGTTTTTGGCCATGTTCGGCCTCCGGGGGCCCTCGCCGGGCCCCGGGGGAGTCAAAAAACGACTCCGGAGGAAAAGCAGGCGTTAGGGAATTGGTCCGGACCTCCGGGGCCCACGCACCCAAAAAGTTGGAGCAGCCGGGTGTCTGGGCAAGGGCCTCCCAGATGGGGTCGGAGTAAGATGGGGTCGAAGGATTTCGACGCATCGCCGATGCATCGCTGGGCACCGGCGATGCATCGGCGATGTGGAGTTCGACGTTTTCCACGCGGATGTTGCGTCACCGATGCATCGCCGATGCAGAGCCAAGTCGTAGCCGGTGTATATCCGATGCGGCGCGATCTTCCGACCCCATTTATTCCGACCCTACCTAGAAGGCCTCTAGGTAAGGGCTTCGGGCCGCGGGTAGTCCCAGCGAAGCGATGCAAAAATGAGCGGGGGCGTCTGCGCCGACATTCGTGCGCAAGTTACCCGCGGAAGGTCGCGCGCAAGCGCCTTCTCGTCTCCGACGGGGCGCGCCGCGCCGGCGGCCCGCGTAAGCCACCGCGTGCAAGGTCGCTAACTACGGTAGGTTCGCGTCGTGTCGACCGGCGGCGACCCCGCCGCCGACGTTCAACGTTGAACGCCGACGGCGGCCCAGAATCGGTCGATGTTGAACGATCGGACGTTGCGGAGACGGCCGATCGTTCAAGGTTGAACGATCCAGCGCGGTGTCAGGAACCAACGCCAGGGTCGACACGGCACGAACCTGCCGTACGTCATCTCGCGCAAGACCCATTCTTGATCGTCGTTCAGTTGGCTTCAAAACGGGCCCCCCGAGTAATTAGTCCGGGGCGGCCTCGGCACCCAAAGGCGCCCCCTCCGGCGGCGCCCCTCTGGGGCGATCCGAGCCTCAGGGTGGGGGTGCTGAGACCGCCCTGGACCACAGCGGAAGCCCATGACAAGAAGCGCCCTGCTTGCCTCCAGGGTGGCCTGGGTGTCTTGGGCGTCGGTGCTTTTTTGCTGTGAAGGGCGCGACGCTCCCACGCCAAGGTCCTCGGAGCCCTGGGGTTCCAGGGTTGGGCCTCCTGTGGGGGGCTTCCTGTGGTCGAGCTCCTGCTGTGCGCAGATGGGCCTGCAGAGGCCAGCTGGGGCCACTCGGGGGGGCACGCGGAGGCCCGCCGGGTCTGCCTGGGGGCGGGGCGGGGGGCCTTAAGTCGGGCCTGTCCCTCTACAGGAGGAATATTCAAAAATAGTCAAGAAAATCGTCTGGAGACGATGTTTTGACTATTTTTGACCATTTGGGGCTCTTTGGGGGCAATCCTTTGTGTTTCGCCCAAAAGCCGCCCGTAGGGGGACATGCCCGACTTCAGGGTTGCCCTGTGCGCAGCCCGAAGCCTTACTTATGCGACGCGGGCGGCGCGCACAGCCCCAGACAGGCAGCGCCTTGCGAAAAAACGGGGCGGAGGGTCCTCATCGTTTTCGTCGGCCTCCGCCCTCGCGCCAGACCCGTTTTGGAGCGTCGCCCAAGCGACGCCCAAAGCGCAGATCTTCGCCTGGAGATCCGGGCCTCGCGAGGCCTTCAGCCGGTGCTGGCCTTCTCGGGGGCCCTCCCCAGCCTGGGGACGACGCGGGCGGTGCGGGCCAGCCCCCGGGGGGGCGGGCCCCAGGGCCCAGGCGCCCGCGTCCCCCGTTCTTCGGTCTCCGCCCTCGCCGGGCCGCTGGAGCATCAAAGGACGAATCGCGATGAGAAGTCCGGGCCCAGGGCTCGGCATCGCTCGGACGTGTGCATTCTTTCCCGTCGAGGACCGTCGAGGCGCAGCTTGGATCCTCTCGCGAAGAATAAGCGCACGGAGCCGAAAAGTGCACGGGGACGGAGGTCCAGGCGACAGCAAGGGGGGGGGAGTGCCGGGACGTCAGGGGACTGATTTGTTCCATCCCGGCGCGACGTGTCTCGATCTCGGTTTGCGTTGCCCTTTCTCGGGCCCCTGGGCCATCAAAACGGAGCCGGGGCGAAGCACTACCCCCGGGGGCGAAGTCCGGGCTTCTGGGGCCGCGGACTGAACAAATGAGAGTGGAGGATGTCAAGGATGAGGGGGTGGATATCCCAGCCTGGAGCAAGTCCCTATCCCTATGATTGGCATCACAGGATCCCGATGCCGATCTCAAGGATTCCCTGTTTCTGATGGCGCATCCCTTGGATTGTCATCGCAAGTGTCAAGCAGTCGCGAAGCGTCCTGGGCTGCCTTTAGGCCCTCCAAAGAATGACCATTTTGTGGTTTGCACGAAATGTTTGCAGAACATGTCTGGTGGAGACCGTCTGGGTTAAATGCATGCGGCTTAT